CGGCAAACGGAAAGCCTATCGCTATATATATCGTCAAAGGTACGTTTACCTTAAACTGATTTTACGCAAACTCATTCACTATATTTTCTTTGTTGCAGATGTTTCTATGCTAATCATTGTTATAGACCTGCTATAACACTACAATCTACTCATCGATACGCGCAAACGGAGCCTAGTAGACGGAAACACTAATATATCTGTTTGCGTAACTTTTTTTCCTGGTTGCAGATTATCTCCAGGCACAGTCAGGCACACGATAGATCCATTTTATCAACGATTACTCAATAAGTACTCTGGGATATGTCAACCGCAACCGACATTGTCGTGTGCAACCAGCAATGTTACACATCACGTCACGACTGTAGGACCACCTGTATTCTTAAAAATGATACGACTAGCTTCCGAAAATCTGAGATTGATCAAAAACGAATTACATCACATGATAGATTGAGGAATCATTCTGTCATCAAGCAGCCCATGGGCATCTCCATTACATATGGTCCTTAAAATGCACAGCGTCGATTGAATTCCAACTAGCGACCATCCTCGGCTGAACAAGTAGACCATTCCTGATCGTTGCCCATCGCCTAACATTCATGATTTGATATATACCTTAAAAGGGGCGACTTTTTTGGGAATCAACTTGGATAAACCATATTAGCGTGTTCTCAGGGCTGCTGGTGACATTCCGAAAACCACTAACATCTATCCTTTCGGTCTATACGAGTACACACTATTGATGCTCAAGGCAACCTATGAAAAGCAAAGCGGATTGCCCAGAACCAACCACAATCAAGCAATTACGCACGTTTAATGGACTAGTAAGTTTCTATGGATGATTCATGCCAAACTGCGTGTCCATTATGAAACCCCTCGTCGACCAACTTCGTGGAAATGCGTACCGTGCCTCAGATCACCTTGACAAAAATTTTTGCCTTCACACAGCTATCACATCTCATTAGATAAACCAGTACAGATTTCATGTTGAATGGAGACCGTCATGTTAGTGTCGTATTTTTCGTAACTGTTATCTGAGTCCTAAGTAAATTATGCTTTCAGTCAACATGAATACATCCCACTAAGAAGAAAGCTTTAAAAATTAACTTGACACCCATTTAGCTACTTGTGTTTTGTCGTCTTTAGCTTAGGACAGCGGCTGATTATATGCACGTGTAAGGAAAGACATTTCCACACCTTTTATCCGGCATAATACACGTCTTTCAACTTTTCTATATTATTTTGCATACTGTCACTTCTATTACTGTCAGGACTATCATCTTATTATTATTATTATGATTATTATCGTTGATATGTCATGGCTCTTTTGCTCATTGTTACATCCTCATATTTGTTTGTTCTTAAGTTCTTGTTTCGTTCTATTTAACTTATTCACATACCCTCTTCTTCCTTAAATTCCAATGTTCAGCTTTCATGATGAACCATCTAGTCTCATGATCTCCAACTGAATGGCTGATGATTTCAGAAACCCAATCGCTCTTGCATTTCATGGGAGAACAACATTGGGCAGTGTTATAACTTGTGACGGCCGATCAGAGAGCAATGACTTATCGATCGGATCAAAGACGCCTAAACACGTGCGAGCAGCGTGGAGTCCTGATTGGCCCTGCTTCTCGCCTAGCCCAGCCAGTTAAGTCAAGAACACAAGTTTCAGCCTCTGCAATATGAATCATTATGCTTCAAACATACTCTGTTTATATGACAATCAGCCAGACCACATCGTACCATAAAATAGAAAATAATATTTGTACAATATTTGGCCAACAGGAAAACGACACGTGAAATAAATATTGACCAGTAGGGAAATGACACGTGAAATAAATATTGACCAGTGGGAAAATGATACCATTTCAAGTCCAAGGATAGCATTAGACTTAACAGGATAATTTTTGGGAAGTTTTTCTGAATATCGCAACAGGCAGTCACACCAGAAATGTTCGTAACTCACTCAAAAACGTACGCACCGAGTCATCTTGAAGTCCAGAAGATCGTTTCATCCCCTCTTTTCAAAATAGATATAAATCTCTTGAATGGAATACATAGGTGGGCAACCAAATGTACGATAGGTCTGAAACATAAATCTTGCGATGACAGCCCCCAGCACTTGGGGTTATTCTCGCTGAGCTATGGCGGAATGCGAAATGGTATGATAATGGCATGCTTGTTAAGTGAACCAAGTCACCCTAACAAGAAATTATTACCAAAATATCAGATGGATTTTGTGGATATTATAGTAATTTCAATGGTTAAGACCATCAACACGCTAATCGAGGAAACCCACAAGAGCTTGCACATAAAAGGGCGAACATCCGGGCACGACTTCATTTTTCGTCACTAATTGTTGCTTCCATTTGAAACGCTATCCCAGTTGCAGTGACCACAACCACCTCACCGGATAACTTCAGGAGGAGACCTGACCAACACGTACTCACTCGTAGATTACCATCCCAATATTGGACCGCATGCGCCTGATCCATGTCTCATAATTTACCACGGTTATCATCAAAAAGATACTAATAAATGCTTCCCGTCTAGCTTATTATCCTATACATTTCTCCTCTTAGTCTTTAAACCTGATCTCATGTTGTCTGTATCACCAATTAATTATTATATTTATTCCTCGAAACACCTGTCTTTTATTAGTATTGGAATTTTCCGTTCCGTATTTCCTACCTTGTAACCAACCAACCTCCCGCATGGTAGTGCGACGGCAGTTGATAATCAGAAACCCTATTACCCTGAAATATACGCACTCACATGAGTTACACATACAAATCTACAAAAAACAGACAAACTAGCCGGAATTAGCGCAGTTGAGCTGTTAAACTACCAGCTACTGGACATTTCCAAATCCATGAAACCTAATGGAAACAACAAAAACAGTTCAAGGAATCTGTCAGTTTATACAAGCTCATAACAAAAATATTGGATCCCATGGATCGATAAGGAAACCCGAAAGCTGCTGAGGTACAGAAAACGGTTTGATGACCTTTGTCAACAGACAACGAATCATTTAGGTACGAGTATCGAAAAATCTAGGACATATGCAAAAGGAACACAGCTACATGACAAAACACCTACAAAATACAGTTAACACGTTTTTATTTGACTGAAGAAGCTGCTTCTCAATTGATCAGTAACTCCTGACACAGTATTAGTGCACATCGAATACGGCAACAGTTACTAGTATAGGGTCAACCGTACATCAACTTCACGGGTGCAGGAACAAAAAGACTTAGGGTTGACAGAGATTCACGGCTTAAAAGCAACTGTGCGTCATTATCATCAACGGTGGCAGGCCGTTTGAAAATTTGGGCTACCCGTTCCTCCCATCGGAGTGTTTCGACAAGTTATCTTTATTTTACTTTCACATATTATCATGTCTATTAATTTCATAACCAATTCAGGCGCATATATGACGACCTATCACCTTTCAAGGTACAAAAAGTACAATCAGAGACATCGTGATGACTAACAATATGTATTGAAAAAAATGAACGACAATCAAATGTTGATTCTCGAACTGCCAACTTCTAACTGCCGGTTACTAATTTGCAAAGTGAATTATCTTTTATTTCTACTAAGTCAGAACATATATCGTAATTGTGGTATAATCACAAACCAAAAATCTCTGTTAAATGATCTAAAAGATGACGGATTAGTATCAATACAAGATTTCAATATCTATTACTGGGATCGACCAAGCAATGAGAAAATGTTTGGGGGTCGGTGTGGTTACGTTTGTAAATGTAATCGATCTATGTCAGCATGTTTTAAGCTTACAAACGACTACTCAACTTTACGTTGCGAACCAAAACACTAGAATAAATGTTTGCCTTAACAACATTTGCGCAACTGCAAACTCCACATCATCTGCGGTGTGTTTTCGCCGATGACTTCCTTGAATTTGCCGATACTGAGTTCAGTACTACATTTCCAGCTATATGTAGTGATTTTATTTCATGTGACTGTAGCTTTCTTTTGTCACTAGGTCACCAATGTGTAGTAGATTCTCTCACTTATTTGTATGCCCATTTAGACTTCGTTCTCATTAATGATTTGGGTACATATGTGTGCCGTAAACGTGCTCCATTGTCTAGCTCGGATCACTGTACATTTTGTGTCCTATCTAACATATATGGAAATCATGGGAATAGTGCACTCTTACATTAAACAAAGGAAGTCAAACACAGGAGTTACTCAGATGAAAATACTCAAAACATGAAAGACGTATTTCATACGATTCAATGAGAGTTATTTGCAAATAACTCACTTGAAAACACCATTTGTTATCTTAATTCCTGTTTTAATATTTGTTGTTCCACTGAAGCTAATTTTGTAGGTTTTGACTGACTTACATTTCTACAACTAAAACGATTACGGGAGCGAGGGCAAAGAATGATTGTACAAGGAGAAAGACTCCACAAAAGTTCGAAAACTAAATGGTTTAATAAACTTAGAAATTAGAAGTCTAAAACTGATGTTTGTTGAAGAATTATTGTCCTGTAAAAACTCTTCACGCATTTGGGAATCATTTAAAAAAGGTACGCGCAAAAGACACATTGTGAGCGATAACTAGCCGAATGCTTATGACTTAAATATGTTTCTTATACGTCAGTCATTCGATGTCATGCTTCCTATATCCACAGGTTTTATGAGTCGTTATGTTTTAGTTTCCACTGAAACACATATTTGAAAATGTCTCCAGTCACGTAACTCGCTAAAATTTTTAAGACCAGTATCATTATTAAATCTTATTATTGCGCTACTTGCGGAAATTATCATATCTAAGGTCACATCAAGGAAGTCCGATAAACCGTGAACTAATATACTTCTAATGGGATTTCGTTTTTCTCATTGAGTGGTCAATGACTGAAAAGTCTTACCAGAACAAATGGTTTCAGTCCAATCAGGGAAAATTTTTAGGTGGAGACTGAACCTTCTATGATACTTACAAGTATTTGAATTAAGTTGCTAACTAAGAATTCCCGAGATAATGCAATTTAAGCCAGATGTAAAGGAACAACTGAACGCGTCATATTTTGAATTCGCAAAAAGCGTGAAATCGCGTTGAAAAGAGTCATCAGTTAGCACAAACACCACATCTACACTGCAACACAAGTTGCTAGGATGAATACAGGCCCTTCCTTAAAACCGAATACTGAGGACTGAAAACAAAAGCCGCTAATTGTAAACAGTGAAGGTCATCGTCGCTGCGTTGACAAATGAGTCCGCTTTGTTACCTTTTTGTAGTATCTGCTTCTGTACTCCTTACTTTAGGAGATGCAGAGATGTTTGGGGCACCCAGAAAACTGCAACCGAACGAGGCGACCATAGAAAAATTTAATCATGAGTTGGTCAAGGTAGCCCATAAATTCAACTCCGAGCATGGAAACAACAGTCTTCATATCATAACTAAGTTGGTAAACGTGACGTCCCAGGTGAGGTTTTGTCTTTACAAGTTACCATTTTTACAGGTCGTTCAGGGGATTTTATATACATTTTACGTTAAGTTTTCCCCTACATCGTGCACAACTTTTGCCAATGACAACACTCGTAAGATAATTAACACCTTTTACTAATATGTGTATCTTAGATGTTTTGGGCGACATTTTTCTTAATCAGAATTCTTGTGACGTAACTGGTGGAGAGGTATTTTTATTTATGTTAATGCTGTTTATTTTCTACTTAGAGTAAGATTTGCAAGGTCACTGTATGGCAAAGACCATGGCTCCGATCTGATGCTTCTGAGATAATTAAAATAGTTAATTGTTCTACGGATACGATTTGATCTGCTCTCGTTCTATGCTATGCCATAAATTCATGTAATGGTGGGGATTTAGATTTTAACATTTGATTATTCGTATATAGCAAAGTTTGCTTCATTCGCCATGCGTGTATTTGATTCATTAGTTAATTAGATTTGAATTTCACGGAAATAACCTGACTTCATACTCTTCATTTCTGGCGATTCATTATTGAACCTAATAGTCGCATTTGATTTTGTTTGCAGTGATATATTCTAGTAAAGTAAATATGATTTCATGAGGCTAATATTTTTCCGGCAGTTTACTTCTAATTTCATATTTGGGGACTACTGACAAACAATCATCATCTCTGGCATTTAAAAACTATTCTTATTAGTTTCTTTTAGCTGCTCTTATAACTTATTCATACATGGGATTTCATTTTAATTTCGGTGTTATAATTGTTTTACGTGTTTTAAACCGTGAAAACTTGTTAATACTGAATGATAAACTTAAAACTAGATTTTGCCGTGCTTCATTTGTGTTCGGTTAATAAAGGTTTTCTCATATTCAAATGTTGTAAGTTGGTTTTAATTTTGTTTGTCTTTTTAGTTCGGTGTGTAATCAGAGCTTATATTTTATTTTCAACAAAAATAATAGGCGTAGGAAATCTACGTCATAATCTTAAGAGACATGTATATTCACTAAATCTACTTTTACATTCACCCTCAAATTCAAAACTTACACAACTTTGTGTTCTTTTGATCTTCCTGATGTATTGTGCAGGTTATATAAACGAGATGAAAAATGACTCATCCCGTCTTATACTGCTTGTCACTACTATTCCATATGTTTTAATCACTCCTTTTAGATTCATTTCTACTGAACATCATTTTCGAAAATATTAGCCTATAAAGACCAGATGATTTAACTGTCGTTCATGATGTGGTCGTTTCAGCGTCAAACAATCTGGAACCACTTACAATTTGAATTGAAAGACATAAAGCCCATAACTGAAGTTATGAATCTAGATCAAGTGAATTAACTGACTAGTGTCTAATACTAGCAAAGTTACTGTTCATCGTGATGTATGATGTTTACCGAAGTAGGATTATATTCGGGAAAGCCGAATATGACGGCGCAAATACTTCGCATTATTCCGAGTCTTCAGGAAAGTAAAGTTAGTATTAAAAGATTACAGATGGAATGCTTAGAACCGACCGTAGTAGGTTGAATGCATTAATTAATCAAATTGTATTGAATTTCTCGTTACTTGTCATTTACCTTTAACTTGTTGCTTCTATGCTACTAAACTTGTTCTGTAGTAAACTATAATAGGTTGAAGAGATGTGCTCTAATATTTGGCTTAGTTTTCATGTTTTCACACTTGAACTGTCCTGTGCAGTTAGATGTGAGAATAATAAGGATTTGGAAAAAATTGTAAAGTGCATGGCTCAGTCCGAAAGGCAAGCTTTTGAAATCTAAGAGTTGGTTCGTTAAGGTTGTGTTTTTTTTACTAAGATTGCTGAGATCTGTCGAAACCCACTGGAAGTGGGATTTATACCAATTTTTATTTCTTTGTATTCGTAATTGGTATTCTTAAACATGACAAGTAAGTTTTGGCCTCATTATTACCTCTTATTCAGGTTATTTCAAATTAGGGTCATGTTTAGTGGGCTAAAGTTTAAACTACATACTTGCACTTAGAAAGGGCTATATAACTCAGGCATCCTCAAGTAAGACAAGATAGTAAAGTGAAATATTAACTCTTTTGAATTATTTATCTGTTAATATACTCACCTATTGTCGTAAAGTTATTAAGTCTCAATATATTTTGCGCTATGAGGTTACGTTCTACTATTCAAAGTACTTAGTATAATTTAATATATAGTAGGATAAATCTGAGTACGGTTGGAACCAAACAGCTAAAGTTCTTTTACTTTATACGTATAACGTATGGGAAGTTCGAATTTCAAGAGATACACTTTTTAGTATCCAGAATAGCCAATATCAAAGATAGAAATAATGAACTGGGAATTACCTTATGAGAATTTGATGGGGTTTTAGGGTCTTTGGAGATGCATATTTACTCCGTAGAAAGTATGATCTACGTTATCATACAGTGAAATAGGTTTGATTTCAAGTACTTAATACAAAACTGCTCACTAGTTGCTTTCCAAAAAGACTGATAACAGATGCCCTATCTTTAAACCCTTCACGATCAACCCACACAAATTTGTTACAGTTCTTACATAAAGATAACCTGAATGGAAACTTGAGTGAGAAAAGATGTGGACAAAGCTCCAAAGGTTTAGTTGTTGATTAAATCTACGAAAGATAAAACCAATCGAATATTTTAAATGAAAACTTTTTATCGCTAAAAGGAGTCAGAGAAGATAATAAATTTGCAAAATATACGAAAATACGGATTGTCGAAAAAATCTGAAACCAAATAAAAATAGTTACATAGGTAGTAGTGTGCAAATGTTGTATATCTCAGTGTCCAACATATCCAAAAGTTTCTATACACGAAATATTACGTCCAAAATTAGTATTATGAGTAAATGTCTTGAAAATACATCTATCAGACAAATGTTTAAGGCACCGCCTTCTAATATAACAGGTTCGTCATAAGCCTAGTAAGTGGGCAGCAATACTAGAGAACACAGAGCGAACAGAATCACGTGTATTTTATAAACCACAGTCAGTGAACAATGTATATTTACACCAGTAAGTTGACATTGTGATCTAGACACTGTTGTATCATCAGTAATTGACAATCAACAACTTAAATGAAACTATGAGAAATATAAATAGTAGGAAACATAGTTCCAGTCTTATTATACCATCTCTACATAGTAAGGGAACTGTGTCCAAAAGTTATTCTGAAGTAATACTGATGCGAGGTATTTAGAATCCTTCATAAAATATTTGATTGACAGGTGATTTAATTTTTCTTCCTGCTATATTTTACATTTTTATTTCATGCCAGCTGGAATTCGTTTTTCCTTATTTTATCACGTAGTTTCTATTTCTGTTTATAATTTAATATGTCACTTTGTGTTAATCTGTCAGTGTGGCCAAAAATTCTACAAAATTTAGAAAAAATGTAAAAAACCTATTCTCTAAAGTAACTTTTTAAAGTTTACGAGTTCGATCAACGCTAAGGGACTAAATAAGTGACATTGGTTACTACTCAATTATCAGTCATTTGTAAAAATCCCAGTCCGACTGTAGGTTAGTCAGAAACTGGATGGCGTTTGGTGATGTTTTGAACTGTGAAGCTGGGTTGCGAGGGATCGGATCCTACGGGGGAGCTTTACTTCCTTCAAGACTGTAGATACATGCTACTGAAGAGCTCGATATAACACGTGACCTAGGTCAACTAGGTTTTTCTGCCAAATACCATCCAACTACCCAAAAAATTATGAGATGTCGAACATTTACGTTTCTACTCTTTGGGATATTACAATTATTTCTTGAGTTCTAAAAACCAGTTTATCACTATATATATATGGGAAACACCTTAATATTATCATTATGACGCAAGTATTTTTAAGCATGGTCAGATAGAGGCTATCAGTGGAATCGAGTCGTTTCGTCTTGTTTGAGACTCATCAGTTGGAAACACCTGAATGCTAAAGTTGGCGATCACGCTGGGATTCTTGAACGTTTTATATCATTTGATACTTATGTTAAAATTTACTGTCTGATGACACATAAGGTCTTCATTAGTGTGGTGCTAAATTGCACTCGGGTAGGTCAGATAGACGTGCCCATTCATTGTATTTCTGAGTATTAAGTAATCACCACGTTTAAAACATGCATTTGTATTTCCTGATAAGGATAATGCTTATGCTTGGAAACTATGTTATTAATTGTACTTTTGGATTGTTAGTAATGTTGGTACAACTAAGTAGAAGTGTTACAAGTTTTAACACTTCCATCAGGTATATTTTACGATAAGGTGTTTGAAAAAGTATTGATAAATGGTATCAATAAAATATCTATATGGACGAATATATTTTGTTTTTTTTAGAAGCGTATTTATATTTAATGGAAACTTGACTGATATGATAGCTTTTAACTAATCACAAAGTGAACAATCTGTAAAAATACTGCAATATTATATTGTTTTATTGTGTGGTCCGCTGTACGATGATTTCAAGTTGAATACAAATTAATCCTCGAAATAAATAATTAACAATCGATAAAGATCAACAGAAATTTTCGGTAAAAGGTATGGGACTACAATAAACACTGAAGGGTAATTGATAAAATATGGCCTTTTAGAAGGTGACGTCAATTATGAATCTTGTAAGGGTTATAAGTTCTTGATAGGTTAAGTCCTATGTAAATTGATTAATTTCAAGAATGGGATACTTAAATGTAGTGTCTGAAGTTATTCTTTTAATTTAGTCCCAATGAAATAAACAATAATTATGCAAGTGACTTATCGGAAGCTTGACATCATTCGAAACATTGTTATAAATTTGTTTGATTGTTGATCCATGTCCATCTAAGTGTACACTCAGACTTGGTAATACGTCTACAAGTTACACCACCATTTTCAACGAACTCAGCTCTACCGAAATCGTCCTCCTGAACCACAACTCTTCGTCATCTCGGTTACATTTTTAAGATGTAGTAGGTAGTTGAAGATTCATCCTTCATATTCCTACTAGTATTCATATCAATGTCATTATTGTTGTAGTTGAAATGTGATTTATATAATTTACCATTTTAGCTAGATTGCGTTTCTTAATGTCGTACACACTACAAAACACAGTGTTCGACTATTTATAAAAATGCATCTGTCGTTATCGGAGGTTCTGCGCTATAGAAGTTTCAGTAAATCAACTAAATATCCCGTTTGTTCAAATACTTATTATTGTAGTGAGAAATGATCATTCAGTAAACTGACTTTTAGAAAATCTTGAAGTGTTTGAATAAATTTTGTTTTCTTAATACTATAAAAGTGTAGTTTCTCGGCTTTTTTTTTAGAAACGTAAGTCATACATCCGTTTTTAGCACGGATCAAGTAGATTGGTTTTATACGTGCTCCAAAATTCACTTTCATTTCAACACACTGACATCAGTATTCTCGATTATAGACCTGCTGTGTCAAATACCGTAAGTGGTCTAAAATTACTCGAATACGATTTACGAATAAGTGAGATCATTTCGTAATTCTACACTTTATTAACCGATGATTGAACTGTGACAATCATGGTATTGATATAATTGTCACTTGGATTGATTTCGCTTGTTATTCTTTCTTTTAACACTTTCTAATGTATAACATATATTTGCTTTATGATAAAACATTAGAAGTCCTGTTTTTTTCCTTTTTAAATATCATCCTTAAACCAATTTTCTAAATTTGTTTAATTCACATTTCAAAACTTTGAGAACTTTAGCAGTAAAGCGGTGAATTAGGCTTACCGCACATTTGACTGTTCATGTTTTCCTGAATGTCAAATTTTCACTCAAACTTTTGATCAGAAAACCTTATTACAGCATCTTATTTCAAATTGAATTATTCTGCTTTATAGTTACCACTCAATTAAAATTGCATGAGTTTTACCTTTTATCATTTGTTTGTAATTAACTCGAATTGAAAAAAAGATGAATTTTTATGTATGATTTCTCAGCTTATACTTACTGCTTTCTCTTTTCTGTTGCCTTCTAGAAATCGTATATATTTCTCTTAATTAACATCGAATATTTTAGTTATCGCAAACACAGTTCATAAATGGTCAGTAAGTAACAAGACATTTTCTATATACATTCTAGTAAAACATTTACACAACATCCGATTATCAGTCAATCTCTTAAATATTCAACCTGAATAACTAATCTGACTATTTTTCCTTGACGTCAAACAGTTGTTGATAAGTATGTTTATAAAATATATGAAGTTTGGATTCATACGTCCTAACCACTGATAAAACGTGATCGTTTATTTTAAATAAGGTGACCATTGAATTGTTTGTTTATTATTACTGTCGTTCATAAACTTTATTATCACTAAATATCACACTATATTTTTAAGGTTACTTGTGTCACATATAATCCACTTTATTTTGGTAAAAAAACTCATTGAATAATGTGATCATATAGAAATGATCAGATTTTAATAATTATATCATAAAGGAAGCTGTTTATTTTAATAATAAAACTGTCTAATATGGAATCATCTCTAAAATTAATGAATAGTTAGCGTTGAATGTGAATCGATTGAAATTAGCCATTAACATCATTGGATACCGGCCTAGTGGTCTAGAGATTAAGCGTTCATGCTCGATGCTAAAGGTCGCAGGACCGAGTTTCACGTGCGGAATTGTGTATGCGCACCGCTGAAGAGTCCCATACTAGGACGGAACGGCTACTAAATATTCTCACTGGTGGTGTAGCTTGGATTGACTCATGAATTCAACATTGAAAATGAATGACACAAATGTCGGAAAGTCAATTAAAAAAAGCATCATAATCTCCTTTCACTTCAATGCATGTGATTAGCTTGATATTTCCAGTGATCTTTAGAGTGAGGGATGAAAAGCCTTATCATGTATATTACTGTATATTACTTTTGCGAACCGAAGCAATGCAATTTGACTGATAGTATCATCCAACATTATGTTTATCCTAAGAGATCCTGTTTGGTTATCAATCCTGAGCAGTTGTTAAGAGTTAATTAAGTGGATACTAAGATAAGTGCTTAGTAGCATGAAGCATAGGTTCAGGGATTTGTGTCAACCATTTCCAACCAATTGAATGAAAACGATGTGCATATTGCTGAGTCACTTTGAGCAATAACCATACAGAGACTTGGTCGACAGAGTCAAATTAGAACCAGATAAACATAACACTAGTTAGTGCTGAATGATCGATTAGTGCACTTAATTCACTGGATTGATATGTAAAAGTTGATGTATCCTTTGCTCTCGCTGCATATGGTTGTTTTGAATCGTATTTATAACATCAACGGGCTGCAAAAGAACAACCTGTTAAATTCTCGCTTGCTAATCGCTTGACAGAAATCAAGTGCAATACATAGAGATCCTGAAATTTATGACTGGGTATCGTCTGCAAAAGTTATTGTTCAGGTCCTTCCCTTTACTATGAGCTTAATTTATCTTCAATTGTTGATTTGTTGTTTTTCTTTTCATAAATAAGTCCGTCAGCGAAATGACAGTATATTACTTTGTTTTATTAGTATTATTATTTCAGAAGTTGTTTTCTATCCAGGCTTTTTCTACTAGTACTCAAACATCTCATTCATTTCAACTTAATGAATGGTCACGAATGCCCTGATACGGTCGAGGGTAGGGAGAGTTCTTTCTCCTTCTCGAAATACCCTCACATGGTCACGGGTATACAGCCCCTTTCAAGGAATTTCTACTCACTACTTCCTCGCAGCATTCCTGTTGTTCACGAAATTGAGAGGACGAAAAGCGAATGTCAGGCGCAATGACAAGGTTAGTGGATATGAAGGATCGACCTAGAGGGAGTTGGAAAACCCTGATTCAAAACCATTGGTGCACATGGTCTCTAGGATCCTGAGGGAGCAATTGGCGTATGAACCAATCGTTAGTCACCGGCTACTATGTGACAGCATCTTCTAACGTTGCTCCACTGCCTTGTGGATTAGACCCGTAGGTCAAAGGCTCGGGGTGTGGTCCTCTGAAAAAACCGCCTGTTTAATTTTAGGCGTCTGGAAAGTGTTCCAGTCCTCACACAAATAGAATGGTGAAGTGTGGCGCACTTATATTTGGTGCTTTCATGTACCAATGTTTATATATTTCAAAAATCAATAAATAAATACATAGTGACTACGTTCACTTACATATATATGTATATACTCATATTCTTTTCAAAAAGATTATGTACTCAAATTCCATATATATCATTTATCAATGTTAAAAGTGAACCTGTTGAAAAGAATCCCTTTTCTAAATAAATTACTTTATAACTTAATCAGTATGTTCAGAAAATTAAAGTATTTGATATTGAAATGAACTTTTATCTAAGCAGTCGAAAGGTAACTAATGATCTAGGTTTCGTGCTACTTTTCATTTTTCACTAAGGTATAAATCCAATTCACATGGAACTAGTGCATTTTTGCTGATTCGATCCTGTATCACTAGCTTTGGCAATCTGTCTCGACTATCTTCTAGTATGATTGAGAATATTTAAAAATGACTGGTCGCTGAGTAGTCAACAATCAGAAAACCTATCTAATTTTCCATAAAATTTTGAAAATGCTCGATCAGTTCAGTTAATTGTACACCCGTTTTGATAAACTTGGTATATTTACTTTCAAATTGCTCATTACCTAGTTTATTAATAAAAAGAACTATGTATTTTCACCTACAAACCCAGTATTATCCTCCATTCAAATTGGTGTGTTACTTAAGGGTTATTGATGGCTGACCAGTGACTAATGCCTTGTTTATGACTCGACAAGCCAACATAGCCCACACGATGTCGAATAACTTACCTTGGTGTTCGCATTGCAACTTGATCGATAGAATCCGAACAACACTATGAGGAATAGACAAACAAAACATTGGTTACCACTGAGTTATCAATCAGTTTTAAATGAAGTTCAATCGTTGCATTATTTTAGGATCATTTTCAACAAGAAAAGACACTGACAACCATGGACTACTCCCTCATTTTTAGTTAAGGACTTCCAAGCACTAAATTAACTTTAGAAAACATATATATACTACTGATACATGACAATAAGTAGAGTGTCACTCTTAAAGTAGTTCGTCTGAAATAACGAAATGCAAGAGTTCAGTTATTTCGATTTTTTCATCTATATAATACATATTGATAGTATGGAAATCTGATAAAGACAAATCAGATCTGAGATTTTCTAAAGTTACGTTTTAAAAGTATATCATAGATCCAAGATATTTATCCATTTTTATAATAATTTTACATTACTTTGGTCAACTATAGGACTTGGTATTTGAAAAATTCCCGATAAAATTGTCAAAAAGTGATTTGACATTTATTTACTGGATAATATTCTTTGCCAAGGTATTCATGTGAATTAATAAAAGGTAACTTATTTACTAAGTGGACTTTGGCTTGAGAACATTGTATTCTGTAACTATACAACTAATGTCTTTTTGTCGAAACAAATCTGGACCAATTATACAATATTGTCTTAATTATTCGGACAACCAGTTGTCTTCATTAATGCATAATTATCTCATCCATATCAAATTCTTAGTATTGGGCTTAATTATTTCAGAAGTGAAATATAACAGATCATATCACACACATGTTTATATTCTACGTCACTTCTGATTGAAACAAACGGTTTGATTGTGTTTATTCTTCTTTTGATAAAGAATTCGATTTCAACTGGAAGTATAATTTTTTTCCCATAATAAACGTGCGTAACATTTTTCCCAAAAATACATTGACGATACGCTATTTTGAACTTATGTACGATCAAGTGTCTATAATCCTTCCTCAAACAATCACATAGTCATAGTATTGATATCCACGGCTTTATATCACTAGCTTCCATGATTTAAAACTGTTGTCTACTTTTTTATTAGCATCGTAGAAATGATACATGTTTCTCATGTTCTGAAGCACAATCATTTATGCATCTCTAATATCCAAGATACTGTGATATAACAACAAATGATTGGTTTATACGGTTTTAGAGAATGTTTGTAACTGTAGTGTCAGTTACTCTGTTAAGCCCATATACCTTCTCCTAGCTTTAGGACAGCCCATTCTATTCATTCTACTTCAGTCACATTCTGACCTTTTTATTTATTCGCTTATCAATCTTCACTGTTTTTATATGAGCGCATATGTGTATGTACACTTCTTATCCCATTACTCATCACATGTCTGTAATCTATCTTTGTGTTACTATAAATATTGATTAGTGCTCGACTAAAAGGGAGTTGGCTTACCAGCCATCTCCACTGCGCGTCGTTTCTCTTCTTTCTATTCATTTCGCTTCATCTACAAAATATATGTATTCAAAAGTCCGTTCTCGTTATTTGACTTAATTCCGTTATTGACTAACGCGATTTAAGTCGATGATTATATACGAGGATAGGCGACATATATATTTCAACAACAATCATCAATACGATCTCCTTGGAGTCAGACCAACGGGCCACCACCACGTGCGAGCGGCCTAGAGTCCTGATTGATCCTGCTTTCCGCCTAGCCCAGCAAGTTGATTCCAGAACACCACTCTCAGCCTCTGCAATATGAATTATTTATTTCAAACATACTACGTTTATATACCAATCAAACAGACCACAACGTACCATAAAATAGAAAATAACATTTGTACAAGAATTAGCCAAATGTAGCTGTGAATGAGGGAGATAGTAATTAATAGACAGTCCATAACTCAAGAATGGCAAATCGTATAGTAATAGTCTATGGGTCAAATCAAAGCTTATAATAAGTAGGACATGAATATGAACAGTTTAGTTACATAACAAATACACGATAAAAATATTCTCATAGTACTGGCCCATAAAAGGATCCCAAGAATTACCATTATTCTTATAGGGATATAACAAACCCCATATAGGAGATGCAATTGGTATTCTGGTTCTGTAAATTAGCCAATAAAATACCATTGTCAACTAACCATTTTTCTTTGTTTCACAATATCGCCGAGAGAAGATTAGTCTATTGTCAATAATAATGAAAAATCACTTGAAAGTATAATTCTTCTGTGAATAACTTTTTATCCTGACTGTATCTTAACTAAGTATCCTCTAGTATTAGTTCCCAAGTATTTATATTATTTAGCAATCATAATTAGCAGATATTTGTTACTGATCAGTATAGCTGATTGCTAAGGCAACTATTGGTACCGATAACCGATATACTTAGCAACGTTAGATGAATCACATACTTTTACGAAGGCATAAGTTAGGTGGGATTAAAGTGTATATTGGAGCTACTAGGAATAATTGGATATTCAGACGAATCTGGATTGGATCAGTTGTCATCAATGACACTGAATAGTCTTCGCGATATATATATTCTTTATTTATTAAAGTTTGAATTTTACCACTGGACACTCACTCTGGTTCTAGTAGTCAAGCGTTTGCTGAGAGCTCTGAAGGTTGAGGTGCCGTTTGTGCACTTCTGAGAAGTCCTATACCAGGACGAAATGGCTTTTCAGTCCCCTCTTATTATCCCTATGACTAAAACTCAAATCAATCTGTCATGAATACAATTTATGATAAGACAGACTTTGTGAGTTTCTTTACAACATTACTTCTCATTGAATTTAATGTACGGAAATATTGTACAAGAAATTCCTGTGTATTTTATGAAGTATTGAGTAATATTCATACAATTATGGAACAACTACATCATAACTTTTGTATGTAGTAAGTTTTACAAAATATTTACAAATCTGTTGAAGGGTTTTAAACATTTTACTTGTTTATAGCCTTCACTTAAGATAGAATTTACACACGTTACACTATTTATAGCAATATTGGATAGAGAAAGCTAAATATTCGTGCGCAATGTAAGCTGTTACCTATATTGAAATATCTCATATGAATCAATACAATACATATAATCAGCTGCTCTATGAGATATGTATACAATTACTTACGTATACGCTTTTTGTGGGGCCCGTAATTTTGTCGTCGTTTAGATCGAACAATGTCGAAAGGGCTCTCCACTTTGGTGGCCGGAGATCTGACTCCAAGGAGATCGTATTGATGATTGTTGTTGAAATATATATGTCGCCTATCCTCGTATATAATCATCGACTTAAATCGCGTTAGTCAATAACGGAATTAAGTCAAATAACGAGAACGGACTTTTGAATACATATATTTTGTAGATGAAGCGAAATGAATAGAAAGAAGAGAAACGACGCGCAGTGGAGATGGCTGGTAAGCCAACTCCCTTTTAGTCGAGCACTAATCAATATTTATAGTAACACAAAGATAGATTACAGACATGTGATGAGTAATGGGATAAGAAGTGTACATACACATATGCGCTCATATAAAAACAGTGAAGATTGATAAGCGAATAAATAAAAAGGTCAGAATGTGACTGAAGTAGAATGAATAGAATGGGCTGTCCTAAAGCTAGGAGAAGGTATATGGGCTTAACATAGTAACTGACATAACACGCTAGTTATTCTATCCTTAAAAGTAATGTCATTTAGCTTAACAAACAGTTGAAGAGCATATGGAACTCATAACAACTTTCAACCAATATCAAAGTGAGAATCTTCAATACGAATGTTAAGGCAGTTCTACTGTACGGAGCTGAAACTTGAAGAACTACAACAACCATCATCAAGAAGGTACAAGTATTTATAAATATTTGTCTACGCAAGATACTAAACATTCATTGGCCGGATGCCATCAGCAACAACCTACTGTAGGAGAGAACAAACCAGCTTCTAGTTGAAGAGTAAATTAGGGAAAGACGCTGGAGTTGGATAGGACATACATCACGCAAATCACCAAACTGCATCACAAGGCCTGTATTAACTTGGAATCCTGAAGGGAAGTGGAAAAGCGGAAGGCCAAAGCACACATTACGTCGGGAAATAAAAGCAGATATGGAAAGGATGAATAACAACTGGAAGGAGGTGGAAAGGATTGCCCAGGACAGGGTTGGATGGAGAATGCTGGTGAGCGGTCTTTGTTCCTTCACGGAGTAACAGGCTTAAGTAAGTAAGCTTAACAAACTGACTCTCTACACTCGATTTCTTAATCATGGTAAATTAATTGTGGCTCAAAGAGTAGTCTCTAAGTGCGCCAGATGTTACTGGATTACAATCACAGATTATTTGATTAGGCAAGGTGGTTGAAAAATGATAACTACGATCACACTCAAACTTTTTTAACATCAAATATTGGTATCGGTTGGAGAGCTATTGAAAATCAAAGGACATTATGCAACTGTGTCGTCCTAGTTTGAGATTTCTCAAAAGTGCTTACTTTAAGCCTAAAACAGAGATCAAATTGAAAAATGCAGTCCGTATTATAGCTTTATACTACTGAAACTGGATCCAGCAGTTCACATGAATAATATTTGTCTCACACCTGACATGTTTGATTGAATTCATAACTTC